TTAGTATTACTTACTTTACTTTCTTACTTAGTAAGTAATATAAGTAAGTAAGTTATTATATATTTATTAGTAGTAGTATTACTTCTAATATCGTCCTCCACGTGTGTGTGTGTGTGTGTGTGTGTGTATATATATATATATATATATATATATATGTATATATAGGATTTGTTGAAACATAAAATTATGGTGGTAAGACATCGTGTAAAGACCATGATGATAATCATCTACACATCAGGGCTTAATTGTTATAAAATATATATCAAGACAACACGGGAGATACATTCCTCGAGCAAACCATGTTGGACAAATCCGTGTTGGAGGAACTCAATACCTTATAGGATTAATAGGGATCAGTAACACAGCCATGCTAAGTTTCTGATAAATGCTTATATATATGGATTTTTTTTACACATAAATGAAAAGCCCTACCTATACTGAACTATATATGAACTAAAAAATATAAAATCATAAACATAATAACATTCACATGTGGTATCCTCACCTGTAAATGAAAATATGTTAAATGAAATAATAAAGCACTGCGTTTTATTGTAACACTTGCCTATGAATGATGAAGACAAAGGCATTTCATTGATGATAGGAAGACTTGCGCTGATGATAATAGATTTGGAGGCTGAGAGGTTAGTTTAAGGCTGATGAATCATCTTTCGAGATTTCTCTGTAGGGTGCTAGAACATCATTAAACCCTCTTTTAAATTTAAGGCTTCTCTCTATTATGGGATCCATGTCTACAGCCATTTCTGCGAGCTCATCTGCCTTGCATGGGAAATTGGACACAGCCTTCACTGTGAGGATAGGTTTAGCATGTTTTATCTTCAGCATCTTCATCACTGTTACTGGAGGCTATCAATGCTTCAAATTTTCATTCGTTGGCTCTTGGTAATGGGATTCCAGAAGCTCAACCACCTCCTCAACCCACATATTATCAAACCCCTCACCTCCAATTTATTTAGCAGCTGCATCTCTGTCGGCTGACCCAGTTTCCCCTTACAGCTTCACATTATGCAGGTTGAATCATTGCTTAAACTTGGCAAACTAGCCTTGCCTGAAACTCACTGGCATCCGCAGCACTTCCACCCTCATTTTAAACTACGTATTCATACAAACTACGTGCTTTCTCAAGTATAGCTATGTTATCAACAACAGAGCCTTTTTTGTTCATTGATCCACACATTAAATAATTTCTCCATTTTTTTCCATGAACGGATTCCTCCTAGGCACTTGGGAAACCTTAGCACTTATAGGGGCAGAAGCCTTAACACTTGCACATATTTTTCTCTTCACTCTTACTAATCGTACATATGGAAGATTCATTCAAGCCATATTCCCAGCCTATAGATGCTACACTCATCTCACTTTGTAAATTATCAAGGATCTGAATTTTCTCAGCTAATGTCATAACTTTGCAGCTTTTCTTTGCCTCATTAACACTTGGAGATACCTTACATGTCGATTTATTCTGCTTTTTAAGGGTATTTACGAAAAGCAGCAAAAATGGCAAAAATAAATTGATTACACGGCACTGAACTTAGCCCGATCACATAGACATGTGGTGGGGATGTAGTGAGGCTCAGGAAGCTGAAAATTGTTTATTTCTATCTTTACAGGTATCCTTCACTGCACATGTCACAAGGTTTTTGTGTATTTCATTCAAAATTTTTATTAAACTACTTTTTGTTTATGTTATACCAATTAGTATATTTGTGGACAAACCTTTATTTTAGCTTATTAAAAATACTTCATTAAAAATATGATTTTTTGTATACGAAAGACTTACAATGAAAGACTACCAAATTTCTTGAAGATATACACACCATATTGAAAGTTAGAAGTTTTAAACGAGTAAAAAAAGGAGACGTGATCAGGCAAATTGACTGAGCCCATATTGAGAGAGTTATGATGATCTAAAGCGCTCATATGTTTGCATGTTGTGTGAACCACACATAATCAAATTTTCTTTGTTTGGCAGATAATTGGTTTATTTTATTTTTGCATGTTGGACGAACTCACGTTGTAGGAGGGTTTACCGTAGTTTGGAGATTTTTCACTTTCTGTAGTTTAGACTGTGGTAATCCAAGCTATCATATATTTTCCATGAATGTGCTCTACTGGACCTTAACTTCCCATACCAAATTTCAAGGCAATCCATTAAGAAATACACAAGATATAAAATCTCCAATTTTGATTGAATTTTTTTCCTATTTCTTTTTTTTTTCTTCACATCGAAAGTACAGAAACTTTATTTGATAGAAAAACATACTTAACTTTTATGGATTTTTTTTCAATTTTGGTACACTAATAAATTTTTAAAACCTACAGTTAGGTGTCAAATGTGGTATAAATATAAGCCACATTTGCAAAGTTATTCAACAAAAACCACTAAAATTTTTGAGCATGCTTATGCAAAAGGTCATGAGCTATCAGTCTAAAACATTTACTACAGCTTCACCTAAGAGTAAAAGTGGATTGTCTTTTGTCATTCGGATCAAAGACGGCTGACTAACAGCAGCAAAACTATGGGATGAAAGGATGTGCAGATACACAAGTATTTGTTAGGCCAAGCAAACTTGATTAGCAGTTTCTAGCTCAAGTTTTTAAAAGAATCATACAGGTGGACAGTTATTATTGAATGAATATTTACTGTAAAATTCTTATCAATGCTATAAGTGTAGCCACTTTGGTCGCCAATTTTGACTTAATTCCTTTAAGTTGCACACTCAATCCTTTTTTCAGGCTAGGCTGCACCTTTTTTTCACACCTAAGGTGTTTTTGATTAGATTCTATTTTAATGTAATGTATGAATTAACTGTTCTGCAGTTTCTCTGGTTATTTAGCTTTCAGCATTTTTATAAAGGTATATATATCTTTTTTTTTCTTAGAAGCATGTGTACTGGGCATCTAAGTACAATTTTTATTTTCATGGAAAAACACACTCATTATTCTTTAGATTGTGTGATGATCTCTTGCAACACACTTGAAGGAACAGTGTATTAGGACAGATTTTTACTGTTTGTTACAATTTTTAAAATAATGTCAAATGTAGGCCTACAGTGTGAGGTCTAACTTAAATTGACATCATTCTACATGTATATTACCTGCAACTGTATCTGTAGTCATTGTTATTGATATAGCATTGTACCATGAGTTATAAATTCATATAAAAAAATTAAAAGATATTAAAATACTGCATCTGTATACTAGTAAGGACCTATGGAGATTACAGACCTCTAAATTTTAGGGCTTGACTATATTAATCCAATCTGTCTACATGTATTGGTTTTTAGCATGCTCCAGATACGGTTTTTCATGTAATTTTGCTGTTAATATAAAGTTTTTGTCCTTTTTCTTATGATTTAATTACTTATTCCATTTTTCACTAACCTTAACCAAATAATATTGATTTTTTTTTATTAGTAAGTTATTTAAAACTTAATATGTGCTGGAAGTGAAGCAATTTTATTTGAAATGATTGAGTTTTGAAATTAAGCTTTACAAATTACTTTGTCAATACAGATGCTGGAGCAACTTGTGAGTGAGAAAATCCTGGAGTGTCTAACCGAAGGAAGTAAGAGTGAGATAGCTAGATTGAAACAGAAATGTCTTTCTCTGGAAAAATCTGTTGAAAGATGGAAAAAGAGAGCACAGAAACTTCAAAAACACGTACATTTGAATCTTTCACTTGCAAATAACTTTATTATTAAAAGAGCTCAGAATGTTACATTATCATATTTTAGATAATTGCTCAAACAAATTTTTTTTATACAGTTTGAGCTCAGAATGTTACATTATCATATTTTAGATAATTGCTCAAACAAATATTTTTTATATAGTTTTAAGTGCCACATGTTTGTCTTTCTTATAGTTTGTATAGTAGGAATTCTTAGATAGGCTTTTGCAGTTATTCTAAGAACCTATGGGTGAAAGCAAAAAAGAATATGTTATAATATGGCAACCACTCTACACCTGCAATGCCTAGTACTGAGGTGGTCTGTTGCCCAATGCCAGGGCTAATCATTACAGCTGGGATATGGTAGCTATAGTAGTGGTCTGGGTGCTATATGTATAAATATCTTTAATTTTCAGTAATGTAATAGGCCTGGCATGGCCAGGTGGTTACGGTACTCAACTCTCAATCTGTGGGTCGTGGGTTCGATTCCTCATCCAACCAAACATGCTCACACTTTCAGCTGTGGGGGAATTATAATGTGACAATCAATCCCATTATTTGTTGGTAAAAGAGTAGCCCAAGAGTTGGCGGTGGGTGGTGGTGACTAGCTGCCTTCCATCTAGTCTTACACTGCTAAATTAGGGACGGCTAGTGCAGATAGCCCTCATGTAGCTTTTCGCAAAATTCATAATAAACTAAACTAAATAAACAGTAATGTAATTTTTTTTACATTGTTTCAGAAAGTTTACATTAACTCTAGTTAAGTTTGATTGGTCATTGTGTTAATTAACCTTTTCCAAAGAGATTAACATTTCAGGTGTCAAGTTTCAGAATTTAAGTAAAAATAATAATTCACTATTTTAACAATTGTTTGCTCAGAAATATTTTAGAATTGATATTTTGTCATTCTATAACATTTATTTAGTGTAATTCACAAATAAGAACAATGAAACTTAAATTTATACACAGATCCAAAGAGTTTTGCATGTGAACAATGTACCTGTAATTTTTTTTTTTTTATCTATTGCAAAGCTAGAAAACGTCATCCCTTGAGAATACAATTAACAAAGTCTTGTTTTTCTCATGAGTTAGCATTTTCCTACACTGAAAATTTATTTCTGATAGATTCTTACCTCCTCTCACAAAAAAACTTTTTTCAACTAGCATTGCCCTCTATCGGTGTACATTTTCAATTCACACTACTAGCATTTCACCTCCTGCTTCTGCATATCCACATGCAAATGATCATGTAGAAGCTCTCCACCAATAGGAGTGTGACACTATTCCTATTGTAACCAGCACCCTCTTCACGTCTGTACTTGTTAATCGCTTCTCAGTTGGCAGTAGTACTGTATAGACATGCTGGTTTTTGCTCGTGGATTTGTTGATGTTTTCCGTTATACTACTGACTTAGTTTTTCTTTACTATTTAATTAAATATTTGTGTTTTGGTATTGTGAAGGTTTTTTGGTTTTTTTTTCAAACTTTCTTACTATTTCAGAGGCCTTTTTAAAATGGAGTAAATTAGTTTGAGAAGTAATTTATGGTTTCATAAGAAAGTGATTAGCTGTAGATCCTTCATAGGAGAACAGCAGAATTTAATCTGAAGTTTATAAGACTTAGGAACAAACAGAACTGGGAACATTTATTTAGATGTTCATTTTGTTCCCGGTTGTTGTCATTTTTTTGCATCAAGTTGTATGTTTGAAGGTTATGGCAATTTTCTTCTATGACAAGAGACAATTGGTAAGTCTTTTTAGGGTTAGAAAGTACATTAGTGATGGAAAAATATTCTGGTGACTTCAAATTCATATTTACTGAATATTATTGTTAAATCAATCATATTCAAGCAATGGACATAAAAAAATAATGTGTAATCTATTTAAAATAAAGTATATTTATTAGATATACATTGATTTTTACCATGAATATTGTTAGCAAAAACTGGTACCTAGGCTGACCTGACACTGTTTTGAAAAGTCAGGTCATAGATCACTACTAAATCTTTATGTAGTGTTTTTTTTTTACGATATCTATCCAAAGTGGTGACAAACTACAACTGGCAAAATAAAGTTTCATAAGAAATATGCTTATAAAACATCACCCAAGTTGAACATGTTTGCATATATAAAATGAAATTTTCTGATCAGTAATAAAAAGAATTAGTTTCTGGTATGAAAAAATTAAGTACTTTGAATGTATTTTGAAACTAGTCATAAAACAAAATTTAGGAAATTTTAAAACATAGAAAATGTTTTAAAAACTAGATTCAATTATATGAAAATGTTTTAAGACAAAACTTGATACTATTTAGTCAATTTGTACTGAGTTTTGAGCATTTTTGTAAAGTATGTCCACTGTAAGAAGGAAAGAAAAAAGGGAAAGGGATATTAGTGATTCCCCGCTCCTCCCAAACCTAGAAAGGGTTAAGAATGGGTGCCATCTTGAAAAATGTACCTTTCCTTTACATGACAACCTACCCTTGTGAAGTCTATAATAAATATATACGTCCATCTTGTTCTTAAATCATGGTTTTTGATTATTCAAAGTTGTCTAAAATAGATATTAACCACGTTTAATGTTATCGTATTTTGTTAATTGGCAGAAAGCTATAGTTTAAAAATAGTTAGTAGAAAAATGTAATTCCTTATGTTCTGTACATCATGATCTACGAGAATGCTTCTTTAACTATTTGCATTCTTATATATCAGTATTTATATATATATATGTTACTCGTCCTTAATTTGGTAATTTCTGAATATTCTGCAGTTGTTAAATATGTTGAATCTAACTTTACTGATTTGTTTAATAAAAATAACAGGTTATTTAAATTTTGTATAAATCTATAGTTTATCTATGTTAATGTATTGTAGATGGCAGAAATGTTGGCTGAAAGAAGCAAGTTTGCTGCTATGAGAAAAGGGAAGGCAAGTGTATTGCTGTTATTTTTTCTGTCTGTCTGTAGTGCTTTGTTTTCTTTTCTTATCAATGTCTCTAAAAATCTTTTGATCAGTTTTTTTTTTTTTTAAATGCCTATAGGTATAAACGTTACTTTAATTAATAAGCGTTTGTTTATATGTTCATTCCTATAGATAAATAGTCAAGAAGTTGTACATCAAATTAATGACAAACTGTGTTTGCAAAGTAACTTGATTGTGTGTTTGTTTTCATGTCATTATTTGGTCTTTAACTCAGTTGTCATATTTGTCTCCATGTTTCGTATAAAACACACATTTTTTTTAAATAGTAAATAGCTGCCTCATTGTATAGTTGACCAGTAAATATAATACTCAAGATTATTGTGAATTTGTGGTATGGTGAATATTACACAAGTTAATATTTGTTGATGGTTTACTTACATTTACTTCTCTATGGGTGAAATTTAAGTTAATACTATTAACTGCTGCAGGAGCAGCTCAGTTGCCATTTTCTGACTTATAGATAAAAACTGAGTTGCCATCAATCACAATAAAATGGTAATTATCATCATTTGCATAGAGTTATAGTTATATATGTGCGACTGACGGATATTTCCGTCATCCGCAGTTAATGGGTTAATACTATTAACTTTCTGGAATAGATAAATAAATAGTCATTGGAACTTTTTGTGTTTTAATGTTTACATATTGCATTGATAGAGTATATTCAGAAATCCACACTGCAGCTTTTTAACACTAATTATATAAATATTGCTCCTCTCTAAAATTATTTTTGTATTTATGTCACCTCGTGTGCTGTAGTTTATAATTCATGCTATTGTTTAAAGTGTACTTGATAAAAAGATTGTGTCAATCCATTCACTTCTGTTTTTCTGTGGAAACTCTAGGTGGCAACGAGGTCAGTGGGGCTTTATGTTAGAATGCCATCGGTAAGTTTGTATCTTGATTTGATTTCCTTTAGAAGCTGGTAGTATGGCTTAAACTATGTTTTCTTGTTACAGTTTTATTATGATGTTTCAAGAGAAATTTTCGTATTACTTTAATCATAATAAATTAAACTATATTGTCATTGAAACTAATATTTATATGAAATAAACTTTTTATCTTTTAAAAAAAAAGTGCTGAAATTAGCAATTCAATATCTGTTAACGTGTGTCAGAAATACTTTGTCGAGTAAAAACTGAAGAACCATTTACTGTCAGCTCTTACAAGTTCATGTTAACAAATATTGAAAGTGATGATTTAACATATTGGTGAGTTCTTTAAGAATACTAGCATGTTAAGAGAAAGAAAGTTGTTTAATGTAGAGAAACTTTCTCAGTATGTATTTTCAACTGCAAATTTTGACAGATAAGTTTAAAAAGTATTCTCACGGTTTTGCACTGACACATTGATATCAATTGCTTGTGCTTCAACCTAAGTTTTAAAAGGGATATTGAAACAGTTTCTAAAAGTGTGTCGTCCTCAAGAATTTCGGTTAATATTTTTAAATGTAATTAAGGTGTTAAGCAATTAATATAATTATATATAATATATGTATGTGTGTTTATAATTTATTTCATTAAGTAAAGATTTCTTTGTACAATGAGTTTAATGCCAAACAAAAGATTTTACCTTCAAGCCTTATGTTGAGTAACCATCATGTCTAGGCTGGCAAAGCATGATTTGTTGATCAAATGATTTTACACTTTTTTTATGGACGACATTTTGAAGTTAAATAAAAGTTTAACTTTATTCGATATGTCTTAGTTTTATTCATGTTTCTATATTATATTTAAATATAATGTACTTTCAAGAGGTTTATATTGACAATGAAAAGTATTTTGTATCGGGTTTTTGCATATATAACTCAAAAAATACCCACCAAACTTTATCCTTGAATGCAACAAAGTTTGTTTTCAGAAAACATTTACTAACCTTAATTAACATATTTTCTTTGATATGCAGTTATTCACCATTATCGAATCACACTTGGTTTATTTTAACTTTCATTAGGTAGAAAAAACTTTGCCTAGAAATGTTTTATAGGTAAATTTACTTATCAGTGAGGTTGATGTATTTTTTAGACTTTATTCAAAAACCTTTAATTCTCAATCTCCTTCAGTTATCTGATAGAAACATCTAGTTTACTCATCATAACTGATTAGCTTTCAGTATTACAAACTTAACGGATGACTGGGTGTGGCCAAATGGTTAGAATGCTGAACCATGAAGCTTAGAATCCATGGTCCACGTCTCACTGCTGCAAAAATACTATGCACTCTGTGGCTGCAAATGCATTATAAGAATGACAACAAAATTCCAATATTCAATTAGAGTAGTCCAAGAATTGGTGGTGGGTGTTGTTGACTAGCTGTCTTCCACCTAGTTTTTTTACTTTTGAATTAGGAACAGCTAGTGCTGATATCCGTTGTGTAGCTTTTTGGGAATATCCAAAACAAACAAAGCACAAAACATCCTATGATGCTTTACATCTATTGGTATAAAAGTTTTAGTCTCATGGACCATTCACTATGTTGTGTAAAAATTTTTGTGAAAAACAATGATTTCTGTAAAGCAGTATTAGTGCAAAAAAAAGTAATATAAGTTTGTTTTCGACAGGGTGGAATAGCCAGTCCTTGTGATCAAATCAAACAATCGGGGCTTATACAGAGTGTCAGCACGAAACAAGTGACTACCACATCAAATAAGGTACCCACTTCGGTTTCTAAAATATAAATAGTCTTTAGTTTGTACTTAAGAGAATACCTGTCAACAGCAGTATGTAAAAATGCATCATTAATTCTAAACTTTTTTGTGTATTAATGTAAATAATGAATGTACTGTTTTTGGGATACTAGGTAAAATTTATTTTTCAATGATAAAATTCAAAAAAATATTACTGTATTTCTCCCTTCTTTTTTTTTCTTCTATCTCTTCACACATTCAACTCTGTCTCTTTTTTTCAAGCATTATACACATCACTAGAATACAAGAAGAAAAAAAAATGGTGAATTCACCATAAAGAGAGAATTTATGTTAATTTTTATCACTGCATTCCTTGAAGTCTCTGTATCTATAGTCATCAATATTGTATTAAAACTCTTTATTTACAGACTTCTGTATCTTCCACCACTGGAAAAACATTGTTGACAACTCAAAACAGTGTGTCAAATAGAGGAGGAAAAACAGTAAGTTTCATTTTTAGAAACATATGTTCAGTATGTTATCTGACTTCTGAAAAAAGCACAGTATTTTGTAAAGAAGTGGACTTCAAAAACTGGATGAGTTTGTGAAATGGAAGTTGGTTGCAAATGACATTAAACTTATGAATTATTATATATATATATATATATATTATATAGGCTGCTCACTGGTAGTTAGTTACTGAACATGTGTCTGAATCAGTTAATATTTTTAATGCACATGTATATAATCGGTTCCAAAAGATCTTCTATTTCAGATATATTTCCAAGTTAAAATAACAGAATGTAATAGATCATAATATATTCTTAAATAATAGAATTGAACATAACATTAGTAATAATAGTTGCTTGCATCATTATAAAAAACATTTCCAGTTTCTTGCCATTATTATTTTAAAATATTCTATCATCCACTGTCCTACTACACAGCAAACTTACCTTTATTTATGTGTGTGTGTCAGAAATGTGTTATTTCTTCCAAGGATGTTTATACAGTGAACTGTCTAAGTCAGAACGTTTTAAGTGACATTTTGGGCCACATTACTCTGTATTTCAACACTTATGCTAATTTTACTTGATAATTAGGAACCCACTTTTTAGAAATAAAAGTTTTTGAGACGGCTTGACTGGGTAATGAAAAACTTTACTATGAGGATGACGAAATCTTGTTGAAACGTCATACATTTTTAATAAAGTTTTTTCATTGCCTAGTCAAGCCATCTCAAAACTTTTACTTATGCTAATTAGCTGGTAGAACAGTCACAGAAAAAGGAAGAAAAGTTTTTACATTTCACTGTATGTGTTACTGCTGTATTGTTTTATACAGTTGTTACTGCATTTGTTCTTAAATATAATAAAACATTAGATATTTAATTTTAGTGGAGTTCATGTTAACTTAAATTCAGTAAAATTAATCCTTGAAATTGACAGTTTGGTCCTGAAAATCCTGAAATTGTTTATTCCGTAAGCCTGCATAAACCATGTGTGTATAACACTTGGTAAAATCCTGGAATTGTT